GAGGAATAATAATAATAATAATAATAATAATAATAATAATAATGGCAGCCAAGTCAACGTGGAAAGCGTCCTCTGAGGCTTAGAAGTCAGAGGTGGCACTTAACCTATCAGTGTCACTCTCATATTTAAGAATAAAGTTTGCAGCTTGTGGGTGTTGCTGGAGCTGGCTCTTACTCCCAAGGTCTAGGCAGATTCTGTGACAAAAAGTGACTTTTAGAAGCTTATGCTGAGAACTCAGTTGCAACATCTTCTGGAGAGTGATAGCTTTATCATGGTTACTTCCCTAACCCACTCCAGTTCAAACTGGGCGATTACCATTCAAGTGTTTTTCATGATGGCATTTCAACTTGTTTAGAATACAACTTCCAGGCAAACTAATTAAGGTTTGTCTTGTCCAGTATATGAAACATGAAAAGGTCTTAAGTAGTTTCCTATTGCTATGGGACCCAGTTTTTAAGCTAAGGGCCTGCTCCTATATAAAAGCAAGAGAGGGCTCTTTTTCAGCATCCATTATTTCTTTCACTTATTTGATTTCTATCCCGTCTTTCCTTCAGAGTGGCATACACAGCACTTATTTCTATTTCCCCCACAGCAGCCCTATGAAATAGGTTGGGCTGACAGTGACAGACAGCAAACCCCACTCCCTTCTAGCACTGAAGATGTTACCTAGCCGGGTAACGAAACGTCTGCAAGGAAACACCCAAGCTCAGAGAACCCCAAGGGCTCCACAGTTGACAGCGATCAGCCCAAAGTCCCCCAAGGAAGATGGGTCTCCCCACTCCTAATCCAGCACCCTTGCTGCCACCCCCTCTTTGAAAGAACCTGAATAAAACTAGGAGGTAGCCAGCCTAGTGATACCCACAAGCTAAAATTCTCAGCAATGGCATCTCCTCTCATAAACTTTGGAATAAAGTCCCAAGCTTTACGGGGTTGCCAAGAAAACTCATTGCAATTCCACAGACATTTGTCTGAGATTCTCGTCCTCCATGCATGCCCTGTAACGATGCTTAATACCCTTTTAACTGGCTCTTACCAGCGCAAGCTCTCTTGAAGGCTCTGAAGGAGAAAGACACACAGACTTCAAAACTGAACAGAGTTCCTTTCCAGACGCATAGCAGGTAGATATATGACCGGGCTAGCTTTAGATATTGCAGCACTGCTACGCCGAAAAAGCCAGCCTGCAAGAGCATTGCCCAGGCTAACCCTCTTTGCACCCTTTCAGGAAAGGACAATTTTGCAAAAAAACGGATTTCTTAACCAGCTGAGAAAGAAACAGAAAAGATGCTGCTTCAACCGGTTTATTTGCTTTCTGTCCTGCATTTCTCCCTTTGGACCCTCAGTAAGCGGATTCTCCGGGTTGGGTTTGTTCTCGCTTAAACCAGCTTGCAAGCGACCAAATTCTTCAACCGCGCCCTGTCTTGCTCAGGTCCCTTCTTGCAGGCTAGCATCTAGGAACGCACGACTGTTCCCCCCCCCTCCGGGTTCGATAATGGTTTCGCTCACCTCCCCCCCCAGCCTCTATAAAGGGTGACGTGGGCGATACCAAGTCTCTCAAGGGGTCGTCAAAAGCAGCGGGCTCACCCAAGAAGGGTCCAGAGAGGATTGGGACCCATCGTCGGCTTCAGCCCTGAGGCGGCGCGATCTCGCAGGGCTTCGTTCCCGGTAAACTCGGTACAACCGCGGCCCCAGTACGCAGCTCAGTAGCTTCGCCATCTTGAAGAAGGACCTAGCCGGGTAGCAGCGCGGGAAAGAGGGTGGGGAATCCAGGAGGAACTATACTTCCGGGATCTGTACGGGAAGGCAAAGGGGTCAAAAACCGTCTAGGCTTTTTTCTTTTTCAAACGCAATTTCAGTTCTTGAGGTAGCTCCCGCTTCAGGCCGTCGGGAGTACAAGACGACCTAGCACTTCACAGTATTTGTTTCAATGCAAAGTCCTTCATTTGGGCAGGAAAAAGCAAAAAGATGAGTGTAGAATCGGGCCTGGGAGGGGAACCGTACTGGGCAGTCGTACATATGGAAAAGATCTGGGGGTCTTCATGAACCACAAACTAAACAGAAGCCAGTGGTGTGATGCAACTGCATGATGATGATGATGATGATGATGATGAATCCTTAATAGGAGTGTCAAGCATACGGGTCTGCCAGTATGCAATTGACGAAATTTGCATTGCAACACGGGTTCTTGTCATTTTGGCATTATCATGGTTGGGAACGGATGCCTAAGTTTTCAAGATCGGGTGACGTCATTGTTTCCATCAATTCTGCCTTGGTCGGACTGCATCTACTAGAGCAATTGCAGCAGAGCAACCAAACTTTGGACATCCGCCAGATGGCATCAAAGAGATTCAAAGCAAAACAAAACAAAACTGTGTTTTGCAGCTCAGAACTTGTGGCCCCGAAATATACCTGCAAATGTAACCATTTTACCTGCTTTTACTATAGCTTATTAGCATGGACCAAGTATTACCCCCTTCCAGTCCTGCTATGCTGCCTCATTGTAGCAGGGGGCTGTTCCTGGGTGGGATTAGTGAAGAACATTGGGAGTGTATGCCAAGAATATATACTCTCAGCCAGGTCATCCAAGGCGTAGAGGTCATCTCAGCTGCCCAGCTAAAACTAACAGGCACTTATATTGAAATGGACTGGAATTGGACACTTTCA